GTGATTTAAAGTTCGAGAGCACTGCAATATTAAATTAGTATTTCAAGAAATAATTTGGAAAGTTTTATTAAAGTTGATTCTAACGTAAAGAACTTTTTCAAGATAGTAATTAAAAAAAAATTAAATTGAATAACAAATAAGATATTAGTAATTAAAAAAAAATTAAATTGAATAACAAATAAGATATTCGATGCGCGTAACAATTATTTAATCGATTCGATTATTTATATGTTACAGAAAATATCCACGCGGGAAGGAGCATCTTCGCATCGAGGGAACACTGGACATCCCGAGCAGCCTGAGAGGAGGAGGAGGTCCGAGGGAGACATCGGGCACCGGCGGAGCAACCTTGGGGTAAGTATCATCTCTTATCTGCATAAGATTAATAATTTTTTCCCATTTATTCGGACTGTTTTATTTTGATAAGCTAAAAATAATTAGAAAAAAAAGAAATTATTAAAAATTTTATAAAAATTTATTTTTGTAAATATTTTTTCCGGAAAATAGATAATTATATCAGTAAATCTAATTGAAAGACGAATTAGATACGCGTAAAATTATGTGTATCTTTTGAAACATCAATCATTTTCAGCGCCTCTTTAATTTATATCTTTCGTTTTTGTTACAGTATCATCGCAGCTACGTGGCCGAATTACTCCGCCCGTTGCGCATCGGATCGGTGAGTGACGAATTTTTTATAATAGTATGAACTAACGAATTTGCGAGACTAATATTAGATATACTTATGTATTGTATTCATATAATAGTACTATATATAGATAAATGCGACTTCTCACAGATTCGTTGCCCTAAAATGGATAGACTAGATCAGACTAGGCTGATTGTGAATGTGAATAATTAATCCTGGAGCATCATTATTTATCAATTTATTATGCTTACGGGAGAATGCACCCATAACCACATACTTTATGTCGGTGCATTATTTATTAATACACCTAATGTTTTTTGTATCGCAGAAGTATACCAGTCGCCTGAAATTTATAGGCAAATTATTTATATTTGGCAAATATACACGGAGAAAAAAATAATGTATCAACAGCATTAGTCTAATTGAAAATAATCTTGTTAATTCAATACATTATGCTTTTGTTTTAATAAAATAAGTCTTTTTTAAATTAAATAAGTATTGTTTTACTAATACTGTTATTGAATTAACATGATTATTTCCAATTAGACAGCGCTGTTGATACAATATTATTTTTTTCTCTGTGTATATTTTATTATCAAGTATATAAAGTATATAAAGATATTAGTTATGATCTTTTTTGTCCAATATTAAAATCAATTATTTAAATTTATTACATTATATAATTATATTTTTCAAATTTATTTTTAAAATTATTAAGAAATATAGAAAAAGATAAAAAATTAAAATAAAATTGTACAGAATATAAAATAACATTTTTTGGATATCAGATTTTTTGTAATTTTTATTTTTTGTGCAAAATAAAAATTTTAGAACTATTTATATTTTATATATACAATAAAAATAAAAATAAATGGAAAATATTTTTTTTATAAATAGACAATAGATAGTTTAATTACAATTAAAGAATTAAGAAATTATAAAAGATATATAGGTATCTGTAGATAAGATATAGATAGGTTTAACGAAATAAAATAAATTAACCGATGATTACATAGATAAGAAAAATTTTGATATTTTACAACAATTAAATGTGTTTCTTCATTTTCTTTTCTCTCTCTCTCTCTCTCTCTCTCTCTCTCTATCCCAAATATTCTTCCAGGATTAAATATTACATGAATTGCAAAGAAGCAAAATGTATTAATAAATTCAATATGCATGTATTATACAAATGAAAAAGACTAAAGGATATTTTGATTCATGTTCCATATATTTTACATGAACTTTATTACATTATATATAGATCACTCTAAGAAGTGTTAATTGTATTTATTTTTATTGTATATACAATATATGTATAATGCGCTGATTTTATCCTAATCTTTTATAGTCTATCCATGTAGCTTGGCTTTGTATAAACGAAGCAAAATAAAATAACGTGAGATCCAGTGAATATTTTGTTGCGGGACAGAATAATTTTTTATATGTCATGTTAAATATAATATTGATAACAATTTGCATTATAATAACGAAATATTAGATATGCATATGAAAGTTTGTTTCATGTAAAGACAAATGTTACATGCGCGAGAACTTGATAAATTTATTATATTGATCGCGATATTAATTATGTAGAGAAATTATTAGTCCCTTTGGATCTCACGTCACAATTCAGTCTGAATATCTCACTTAATATCTAAAGTGAGATTAAGCAACGATTCGTGATTCGGTTCGCGGTTCGGTTCGCGATTCGGTTTATACCAAACATTATTTGCCCATTCATTAATAAATAATTGATTGATCGAGTCATCGATTAATTTTTAAATTTCTGTTGTCTCGTGTTTCTACATTATACTATTGAAATCCAGATTTGCGACTGATTGTAAGATATAATCACGACGATTTTTATTAGAACGCGATTAATAAAATTTTTTCATTTTTTGATATAATTTTTTACTTTCTATTGCTGCTATATAATTCTTGGACGAATACATTAATTACGCGTATCATTGTGAAATTAAAAGCAAAATTAAGTCGCTTAATTATAATTTTACTAACGATCCAACGTAGTTGTTAATTTTTTCCCGATATGATTAACGCGCGCTTATTAACGATCGGAACGATTCGTAATCGACCGTAATATTATAATCGTCTGCTGGCGCTGTTAATCAGCCGGCATTGAAGGAGTTTGTCTCCTTCTCATTTTCTGGCTAACATACAGCCAAAATGGATTTGGCCAGTAACAACGAAAGGTGAGTCCAATCTTGGCCGGAAGATACGACGGAAACTACGCTACATCTTGTAAGGTATAAGGTCTATATTGACCAGAAGGTTTGTAAAGTAAAGTTAACATATACATAAGATAACATACAAAATAATTTGATATTTCTATTTATTTCCCCAAAGTAGGGCTATTTTCTTTATATTAAATTTTCTCGCATATGTGCGAGATTCGAAAATCCCTCCTTAATTAAATCCCAAACGCGCGCGTGTAAAACCTGAGATTTTACATTTCCCAAATCTCAAGTGATCATATCACTTTGAGGTATCCCGCTGGATTAACCAGCAAATCAGGTCCCTTATAAATCGTGTCGCGGTCTGAATTAAAGATTTGTATTAGATTTATACTAAATTGCAATACGGGTAGGTAGGACAGACAATATAGCTGGATTCGGGGAGTGCGCTATTAGCGCCATTTGCTTATTCTATCTTTGTTGTACACCTGATGAGTGATCAAGATAGAATGATGCAAGGTAGGACTATAAACTCGGAATATGGGTAGGTAGGTAGGGATACGGGTAGGTAGGGATTCGGGTAAGTAGGGATTCGGGTAGGCAGGGACAAGGGGATATAATTCAATAATTAAAAAGATTGTGGACGAAATGATTATAGTTAATAACTTTAATATAATAATAATAAATATAATTATATTTATTATTATTATATTTTTAACAATAACTAAAAAAATACATTAAATATTACTAATTCTTTTATATTAAATAATTTTTAATATAAAAATTATTTAATATATTAAAAATTAGTATTTTTTATATTAAATACTCTAATCTTTATATTAATTAAGTAATATCAATTTTTACAGATAATTATGTCCTGGTGTATATTGTATATTAGTATTTCAAATATATATACTGTAATATTAATTGTATAATATTAATTGTGTAAATGTAATCACGGATGTGTGTATAATAAGACGGAAATCATGACGTGTTTGGTAAACAGTTTACTTTTTAAAACTTTAGTAGTTTTTATTTGCTAAAAGATTGTTAATAAATTCGGGAGATCTTTCATTCAAAATTTTATATTAGAAATTATCACTATTAGTACAAGTAATATAATTTATTGAATAAAAGTGTGAAAAGGTTCAATGTTAAAACAATTATCATTAACGTGTAAAATTTTTGTTCACAAAAGAGAAATAATTATATAGGGAACTCGCGCGCATTGCAACGATCAAGTGTTATAAAAATGATGTGTATCAGAATTGATTTGGGATCGTTTCATTCGTCGCGTATTTTTCAGTTTGATCATTGTCTTACATCAAAGCTTTGTTTATTTTTTCGCATATTGGTCGTTTCCTTTGAGTTTCACAAAAATAGTATGACAATAATTGACATTCTGCTTGATTGAGTAATATAAGTAATCTTATTAACGATCTTTTTGGTTGTGATTGCTCGAGTAAATTAAAAATGAAGTAAAAATAACTTTGGACTAGTTATTTAATAATAAGAAATGTTACATAATAGCCACATTGTAAGAATTTCGTTTTATTGTACGTATACCGAAAGTTATAATTTTATGTCAAAAAGAAATATTGTATATAATTTTATTGTATATTATTGTATATTGTATATTATATTTTCAGTTTTGTAATGTAACTGTTTTACAATGTTGTAACTGTTTACATATTGTAAAATAAATTATAAATGAAATAAAATAAGTGATAAAAATGTAAAAAACGGATTCTAAAGAAAAGAGGACCGCCGATCGGGATCGGCGGGGGTGGTGGAGGGCCTCTATAGGTTGACTTGTTTCTATCGGATAAAATTTTAGTTAAAACTTAAGATAAGAGAGAGAATATTTAATTTATAACTAGGAAAATGAGAAGTCCAAATCCATGCATTTAATCGCAATTACATTCGGTACAAGCATCACGGCCTTTAAAAACATTGCTTATACATATTGTACATATCGTAAAATAATTTTTTTTCAATTAGATCTATGCTATTAATATATCATTTTTTCCGTAAAGAATATGACACAACTAATCATATGAGATATAAAAGAGCGGCTATTATAAAATAAAAAATTGTTACATTTTATTTAATATCGGTCAAAAATATTTATTGAGAGAATTGTATCAATGGACACAATATTATATATACATATTGTATTTATTACGGCACAAAATACATATAATGTACGATGCACTAACACACTAGTGATATATATATATATATGTATGTAACTAAATGAAAATATCTTAAACGTATAAATTACATAAAAAATGTAAAGAGTAATGGTAATCATAATGCGTAATGCTACATATGTGTAACAAATTAGCGAGACCTGTACAATTGGATGGAGATTCAGTTTTTTTTATTGTCACGGTGTAATCAACCGCGTTTATGGCGACAAGTAATTTTATTGATTGGTAAAGTTGCGCGAATCTTCTGTAAATTTCGAAGACTCACCACTTCCTTCTTCTCTTTTACGAAAACTGCCTCAGCCTCAGACTGTATTGTTGTCCTGCTGTCATTCGATCATTTTAAAGAGTGCGCAGGAGAATATCATTCCGAAGAACTGCAATGATCCGAGAATTAAAATACTTAGTAAATATCAAGGAACGAAGAAAATGAAAGGAATATTTGCTTAAACACACGATATGCTCAAGAATGCTAGTCACAATATGACTTTAAGAAAAAGTACAGAAAATGCTAGACAAATTTTAAAATTAATTTGATCGTAAAGGGAATACTTGTTCGGGTTCGATCGACTTTATAGCGTCGAGGGTTCAATTTTAACCGAGAAGAGTATCATAAAAATGCAAAGTGTGTGCGTTCTTACCATGAGACATGCAAGTGCAATACCAGCGCCACCCATAACGGCCGCATGTTGCTGCATGTAGATTCGCGTTCCGTTGATGCAACCCTCCACGTAAGCGTTGGAGGGATTTACTGTGTCTGGGCCGGCGTTGCAGTGGAATCGCTGCGAGCAGATCGAACGACCATGAGAAACGCGGTTCTTCGTTCGCGAGAAAGCCGATCGGAAGAGTGAAAGTGTGAGAGGCGCAGACTGAGGCGGTTAAAAACTCGGTCGATTAAGTAATTGCGGGCCAAATTGACGGTACTCGACCGGGAGGGAAACTCGGTGTGTCACGTAAAGAATCGCTTAGACTGCGAATACCTAATTATTCGCGTCGAGTCGCAATCGCGCGAGTCTCTAATGCGAATCACGAAAAGTCGTTACCTCTATCGAGGAAAATTCCATTTTGCGCAAAATGTAAATCAGAATCTCACCTTTGAATTAATTGACTGCGATAAAAGTGAGGATTATCAAGCGGACAGACGTTTATAAACACGCCTTATAAACACGACACGTTTATTATGTAACGAGATGCACGTACATAGTAAATTGCCGTAATTATAAGCGCGGACGAAGTCGGTGGATAAACTATTTCATCGAGTAACGCAATCACGTTAAAATATAATTGATTTTTACCTGGCCAGGTTGAATTTCTCGACAGCAGCTCTCTGGGACATTAAGGCCGAAGCTTCCCCAGTCCCTCCAGCTGTTAACGCCGCAACAGTGGAGCTGAAAGCGAGAATTGAATAAGCTTCGGGAAGTTTCGAGCAACAATTGGATTCGAGGAAGATAAAGCGCGCTCGAGATCGCGCCACGAGTTTGATCGTCTGATAAAATTAACTTTTATTCACGTAACGTCCGCGGAAATTATTTACCGTCGATTGCGTGGTGTCCCAGGCGTCACGAATGGATTTACGATGATCGTAAAGTCGGAGCGAACTTTTCATCTCTCTGTCGAGCGTGCCCAGCAATTTCTCGCGGAAAACGTACCCCAGGACGCCGCCGATGAGCATAGTCACAAACAGCAGGAATACGATTATGAAGTACTGAAAAAAAAAAAATGGATTTTATTAATCGACCGTCACGAGTCGATACCTTGATAAGTTTGCGTGACTTGATGCTTGGAAAGTATAATAAGATCTCCAGTGGCCGGTATTCATAGTCGGTTCTTATTTTAATAAGACCGTCCTAAGTAATGTCTTAAGATGCTAATACGGCTTTGTGATTGTTTAATAACATCTTAAGATTGTACTTAAGACGGTCTTAAATATAAGAACCGACTATGAATACCGGCCAATGTTTAATCAATTTGAGATAAGCTTGTCTTCCGTAAAGATTAAATTCGTCGTTCAAGTCGGCAAATCAGGTAAACTCTGGAAATCGAGACGTTGGTTGAAACGTTTTCCCGGTTCGAAAATAGATCCTTGGTACTTACTGTCAGAAGCATACACTTGACTTCCCGCGACGCACCGACGCATCCGAAGAAGGCGATAAACGCCACGACGATTCCGCCGACCAGTAAAACGTAAACTGCGCCGGTTAACAGATCGTTTCCAACGAGTTCGCCTATCCATGGTACTTTGTCAACCAAGGCCCACACGCCCAAACCCGTTACGACAATCCCGCCAATCTGGAGCATAAATCAATAGTATAATTATACATTACTGCGCTAGTATATTACATCTTCAGCAAAGGGACTGGAACTTACGAAGATAACGAAGTTCGTGAAGAACAGGGAATATTTCATGAAACGTCCGCAGCCATCCATTTCCGTGCCGTATCCCATTCCCTTTTACCTGCGAAACTCTGTTAACAGACCGATAAACAAAAATGCTAATAAAATTAACAATGAAACGCCAGAACGTTAAAAAGACAATAGCGCGGTAGCTCGCAAGTATTTGCTTTTCGTTAACAATTAACGACACTGTAGTTGCTATTTCGTATAAAGGGAAAATTTGAAAAGCGCTTCACTAAAATAAATAGCTCTCTCTTCATCTTTCCCGTTAAAATTAATTAAAGTAAAATGTAGTTGTCAATTAATTATTTCTGTTTTTTTTTTTAATTTTTTCTTAATTTTTTTTCTTTGCCTTTTTGTTATATTATTTTGTCTCCTTTTTTTTCTGTGGTAAATATGTGGCAAATGCAGTGACATCAAGCGTCCTGAAGATGACGCGCCTCAACGAACGTAATTAAACGAATTTTTATAACAGTCACGTACATCGCTCTTAATTATGTCACGTCTCGGTGACATCAGGCTTATGTTTGGCCCAGTTTGAAGCACCTTGGCCGTCCACCATAGCCTTGGCCGTATCCATAGGCGCGGGACTTTCTAAGTTTCAATTCGTATTGAAGAATCGATACTCACGTAACGCGGTGAAAAGCGAATATCTTAGTCGCGCAATTCGTGTGGCAAACTTTACTAATTAATAAATTAATTATAGTAATTTATCGATTAATTATCGACCAATGTCACTTTGATTTTAATTCAGTACATATTCCAAATTATTCATTCCATTGTCCATTTAATTACATTCCTCACGAATTAATCCAATCTAAAGCTAAAATCTAATTCAATTAAGTGCTTCTTCCCTCTCGTTTCTCTGTCGTGCAGTAATTTATATGCGCAGTAAACTCCGACGTTCTAATAACTATTAATGGGCCGAGAGGCAAAATAGGTGTTCGTGATCAACGCGAATTTTTACGGCTCGGCAAGCAGAGTCGGCGACTTCCTGTTTTGAAAATACTGCGCACACGGCTCAATTGCACGCTATTGTTTGTCGAACGCGTAACAGAGTCCCGCGGCACTCGTCAGCGGCTGATCCTTATCCTCGTAAATCGTCGAAACGATAGGAACGTTTTCGCGTGTACGTTTTCACATAACGAAAGCCCGTTTCTGAAAAACGCGTTCACCTGTCGGCACCCTACGCACCCTATGCAGAATACGATCAATGATGCAAGGCGGCCCCTCAGGACGGCTTTGCGCGCGCGTTGATTGTTATCGTTCCGCACAACCTCGTATACTACGAACATATAAGATTGCGGATTATACGGACCTCGGTCACGCACCGGTATATCGTCTCGAAAGCGCATGGAGTTACCGAGAGAGAAAGTTTGCTTCTCTGTCCGCGCATTAAGTAATCCACGGCCAGAGCGAAGAATGAAAATGACGCGACGATGCTCGCACTTGCAATCCCGCATCTCGCAAGCGACGCGGCCGTGCTTCCTCCGTCTTATCTTGCGAAAGGATTAGATCACTTTATGCTAACCGCGTTCGATTACTCCTCATTTCCACGAAACTACAAGCTGAATTCCTTTCTCATCCTCGAAGCCTTCCTCTCTCCAACGTTGAATTTCTAATCGTCAGACTCGCGGCATCGCGTCACTTCTAAGAAAAAGCGAGAAAGTCTCCGAGATAAAGTCGCGTTAATTAACTTCAAAGTTAAAAAAGTTTTTCACAACTGTCTTCAATCGAAGATTCGAGGAGCGATGTAAAATGAGTCACACTATACGTCTGGAACACCTTGCGCGCAAAGCTACGTGCCATTTAGAATTAATTCGCAATTGACGCACAGTTGGCGCCATAGAATCATAAGAACTCTGTTAGATTATTCTTAGGAAAACCGCACGCCGCACGATGACGCTAACGCTCATTAATAAATCGCTTCATCTCGGCAAAGCAGTACGTACGCGAACTCTCCAATTAAAATCTTCTGACATCATCAGAGCTAGAATCGCGTCGTAGTTATCCAGCGGAATGCTGACACATGTTTGCCCTACTACACTATACGTCGAGCAATATCATCTTTTTCTCTCTCAAAACGACAGACATTATTTGCTTATTAAGCGCACGACATTACGACGTAATCGCTAACGATTTCGCGGCCGTCGATTCGTGTTGGAGAAACGGAAAGACGCGTGCGTATAAAAATCTACTCTGTCAAACTTATTCTTAGAGTCTTGTCAATATTAATCTTCGACAACCGCCACGTTTTTCCCGCGTATGCGAGAAACGCAGCATCTGCGCGTCTTGCCGTACAATCGCGCGCTTATCTGCGCGATATACAAACGTAAGCGAAACGTTTCTTTTTTTCCGCGCGCTAAAAATAAACGCGCACACCTGTGAACAATCTCGTTCGCGGTGGTTCACATCGAGAGGAAACGTGAGCGGGAGAAGAAACATTCGCCGAGTAGGCAGGAGCCGGAGTCTGAGGTGCGGCCCTTCGATATGATGAATAATCGAAAGTTAAATCTCGACCCGAGGTCAGGCTTTACAATCCTCCGGATAATATTTCCAGATAGTACTTCCAGGTAGTATCTATTTAGCCGACCTGTCTCTCGTCATAGTTACTGATCCTCGCAAGTTAACGTGACACGTGCAATCGGAGCGCGTTCTTACGCGACGTCGCGTATCGTTGCTGCTGCGATTTACGAGCGTTCGTCATCGCGCGATTCGCGGTGGTTTTCATAAATACACCATAATACGGCGAGGGGGAAGAATCGATAATACCGGCTACGACGTAACGACCGGCGTGTGGAGCATGGCGTTTCGAAGTCGCGTGGAAACTCCCCGCGAGTGACTTGAATGCGCTCTCGCGAAATTACTTATGTAGAACAAAACATTGCGCGCTTCCACGCGAGACTCCTCATCGCGTTGATTAGTCATTTGAAGCCTCTCTGCAAAAGTTGAAGTATTATGCAAATGTTGAGTAACTCTTGTGGTGAAGCGCAACAATTTTATGACTGTTTTGCGGCTAGAAGCATTTTTCTCGATGTCTTTTTGTGATATATTCGAAACGCTTGGATATTAATTTAAATGCACATGAGGGTCTCAAATCTGATTTAGTTGAAGGTTCTCAAGATGGTTCATACCGATTATGTAACGTTATGCAGTAAGCTTCAAAAATTTTTGACTCGAGGACAGAAGAAGAAAAGAGGATAAAATAAAACAACTATAGTTTTATTTTTTAGTATAATTACCCTTTATTTCTAAATAAATATTACTAAAAAATAATCTGAAATTCTGTTTTTAGAATGGTTTAATATCGAAAAGATCATTTCTTTATCATTGATAAACGTTTTCCACGCAAATGGGATAAATGTTGAAGATAAAAATTAATTTTTAAAATTTAAATCCAATTTGCGTGGAAACTACATTTATTAACGATGAAAAAGTAATCTCTTCAGTGTTAAATCATTTTAAAGATAAAAATTTAAAATATTTTTTCAGTGATATAAAAAAATGAATTTATTGTTCTAAAAAATGTATTAAAATAAAGGGTGATTAGATGAAAAAATAAAAAGGGTTATTGTTTTATTTTACTCTCTTTTGTCTTCTATCCTTAGGCCGGAAACTTTTCTTTAATATATATTATTATACAATTGAATGATTCTTCTTCAATATAATTGTGTTTTAGAGAAAGCCAAACGAAATTGAAGTTGGAAAGAAATAAAAATGTTGTTTCTCGTTTTATGTAAAAATTAGTGAATTGAATTATGTAATAATTAATTTAATAAGGAGCGAAGTAATTTAATTATTTCGAGTTTAGTTGCAAAACTTATAACTTAACAATAATCGAAACTATAAGCCTTTTATATCGAAGTGATACGAAACGATATTGTATAAAAACTACTTAAAGACATTAATACGATGAAACTTGACAGTAAACTCGCAATTAGTCGCGCAGTCAGCAACTTTCTCGTTTATTAGTCATCAAGTTGGTTCTAGGTGTAAATTAAATTAACACATTAATCAAGAAAGTTTCCATTGTTGTTCTCGTCTTTAGCCACTTTACAGATTGATATTATTTGACGAACGTGGGCGTAAGTTAATTCACATATCATTTCCTCAATGAACTAGATGATATCTAATTACACTTCCTTTCTGATTCACGTCTTTAGCACAATGTTATGATAAAACTGTCTGTTAAGTTAAGCGAGCTCTTAACTTAGAAGTTATCTTAAAAGCGAGTTAAACAAAAGTGTGTGTGTATGTGCCGGCGACTTTATATTTATATCAATATTAATACTAATATTAATTTCAAAAATTAAGTATTTACAGAAGGAGTTTTCGCAGAACAGACAAAAGTTTCCGATTAAAACTTCCACTTTTTTGCCGGGACAAGAAGTCGCCGGACACACAAAACATCGAACTGATATGATTCATATTTAACTGCCGCGCGTTAAATCGTTAAATGGCGGTTCAACGATGAATCACCGCGACGCAACTTCGGCGATTCCGCTTCAAACTTCCTCGTTTTAAGACGCGGCGGAGCGAAAAATCATTTTCGTGAGAATCGCACGCGACCGGGTATTCTCTAACGCGCCGATCGATTGCTCAACATCTTTACTCACGCTAGTCTCTCGCCGGGTTCCTTTCTCTCGAGCCGGCGGCAGTCGCGGGAAATAAAAAAATTAAACGATTCCTTTCTCCCGCTTGGAAAGCCTCCCCCGTCTCGAAAGGAAACGTCGAAACGATGGAGTCGTTCGTGTTTCGGGGAAAACTGATAAATCTCGCGATGTCGGAACGAATGTTTCGCTACAGACGAAAGAATTCGGGAACCAAGTTTAGACGCGCGCGATTTCAGACCGTGTCGGAGTGAAACTGAAACGGTAAGACTGGGTAAGACTGAATTTCTGCCTCGCTCGCACTCTCTCTTTCGATCTCCGTCCTTCTGTTTCCCTCCTGTTTCTCCCTTCCCCTGCCTGTTCTCATAGTAGAATCCCGTCTCTCTTTCTCTCTCATCTCCTCTCCCCTTCTCAGGCGAGTCATCGCTTACTATACCATACACGTTGCGTACGCGTATACTACCATCGTGATCTAACTATAGTGCGAGAGCCATTGTGTATACGAACCGACGCGACGCGCACGAGGAAAACTCACGATGGGGGCCAACGAAAGTGGGGAACCACGTTGGCACATATGCGCCGGTAACACACACGCACGCAGCACGATGTATACGCATGAGTATCCACAAACACATACGCGCTGCGAAACACGCGGGGAACCGCTTCTCGAGGCTCGGAGGCCCCACTTTCGGGTAGGAATGTGGATGTGATAATCAAGCCATTCGTTGCTTGCAGAAGGTGATCTGTTGATTTAATGTTACCTCGATAATTACTACGAGAGATCGAGGATTTTTGCCGCCAAAACGAATACGGTGTATCACTTTCGTTACGCGGAATTTCATCTTGGGAGACGTCACGCGGAGGTCTCTCTTATTTAATAATTAATGCGCCGAAAACAAAAATAAAAAATAAATCTTTAAACGTTTATAAATATGTATATAATTTTCATCATTCTAATTATAAAATTATAAAATAATCTTATAAATAAATTAATTACTTAAATTGATTACCTTTAAATGAAAGAAGAGAATATAATTTAAATTATTCTTTTGTGAAATTATAATCTGCTGTTTTTTGAAGTAGTTAATGAGTATAAAGTATATATACTTCTTGTATATAGATACTTTTTATTTTGTATATACATTTTACAAATATTTTTAAAATATATAATTACCGTAGAATTTCATAGAAGGCATATTGAATCGGAAATATATAATATAAGATTAAACTACGAGATGTTATATAACTCAATGTAGAGCGTGACCGTTTATCACGTGCTTCCGTCATCTCCAAAGTTAGTACACATTCGATTGCAGTAATTTCAAAGTTTGTTTAGCGACTGCTCCACCCAAGTAATAACCGTTGCTTCTAATTGAAGCAATCATCATTCAAGGGTTTTTAATCAAGCCACCATAATAATCAAGCTAGGATAATTTCGACATTATTTCCCAAAATGTACACTTTGTAATGTATACATCGCTAAGCTATTTTGAGATATTGAGACGTGTTTGACTTACAAAAGATTATTTTAGTATTTTGTCCACATAAATTATCTTAAATTATTTTAAAAATATTTTTCTATTAAAACATAAAAAGCATTTTTATTTCGCGCAACTGCCAAGAGGTTAATGTAGAAATACAAAGAAATTTGCGAGATACTTTTATGTCAATAATATCCGTGCGCAGATACATGGTCAACGTTTATTGTCTAGGTCTAGCATATGCTGGATGTAAAATCTATACCTGTGTCCTCTTTTTCAGCGATCCTTAAGGATTTAACTCATAGATTTAACCTTTCACATTTTTGGAAGGAAACATTATCGGAACTTGAGAAAAACTCTTTGTTTTAAAATATCTTCACAGACATTATTAATATAGACATAAATATTTTTATTCTTTGACATCTGTTGAGAGAATGGGTATAAAATCTATATCTAAGACATTTTTCTCATAAGAGAAAGAAACTTTCTCTTATTTTTGTAAATAATTCTTTAGAAATATGATAAACGAAAGGTTGTTTTAAAACCTGTATACATCAGACGTGATTAATGCTTGTTTATTGTGTAAGGTTCATTACAAATTAATGGAAAAATTATTAAAAGTATCGTTTAACTTAATTATAATTAACAAAATGTGAAGTCAAGTTTAGACAGAATGTACTTAATGTAGTCATGGCAAAATGTATGTATTTAATATAATCACGATGTAAAAGCGGTATAGTTAAATACTATACTTAAACGTATGCTGTTTAATTAATAAATAGTAAAATTATTGTCAGTAACCAATCTATATACCGTATATGACGACAGATTAGCAGCAGATTTGCTCAGATATTACAACAGATCTTTTTTCATCTGATGTCCGCATTTGTGTTTTGCTGATAGAGCCTGCCGATAAAATTTGACAGCAGATTGTGATTTATAAAAACCGAACAAAAAATTATTCTATTTTATGTTTAAAAAATAAAACGTTATTTTGTAAACATTGAAATGGAATACATCATTATTTACATTGTTTAATGTATTCCATTATTTAATGGAGCACATTATGAAACTCAGTTTTTGCAATCATATGCTGGTGTTATATACCGTCAAC